CGCCATGTGGACTCCTCCGGGGCAGACGGGGAATCGAACTCATGCGGAAGCGGCTTTAGATTTTCAGTGCTGTGCTTTAACCCGCTGCGCCACCAGGGAGGGCCAATCCATGGGTTTCTTTATTAGCACTTTAAAAAAATAAAAGATCTCACATTAGTCAAGTAGCTACTGCAGTTTCCACCCCTGATCTCAGTCCCCTTACTGTGGAAAAGAACTTTTGCTCTGGGAGCAGCAGTGAAGCCCAGGGCCTGTTTGGAACTAGCAGGAAGCCAGGTGATATGTATGCTTGCGCCTGGCTCTAGGGGCTGGTCTGGAAGCAGAATTCACTTCCTCTCTCCGACTGCAGGTCTTTGCTAAACTTAATGATTTAGCCTAAATTCCTCTTCAACACTGTGTTTGCAAATAGTCGTTATCCCACTCCTGTTCGTGCATTTGGGTGGATGTTTCATTGCCAGGTTCTGGTTAGGAGCTAGGACTCCTAAGGGGCAGGGTTCCCCAGGCCTGGAGGGACTTACGGCCTGGGGGGGGACTGCGCCCACATTACAGGTCCACTGTGGCCGCTGGCTCAGGCTCCTGCACAGGCTGGTTGCCTGGGCCGAGGAAAGCGGGGGGAGATCCCCACAAGTATTTATCTGATTGAAAATTCTGTCTTTAAAAAAATACATGCAATCCATTCTGCAAATAGGGCACATCCGTGCTCCAGCCACGTCTCCTTGCTGTGTTTTATTTTCTGTTCTGCATTTCAGCTGGTTCTGGTCCGGATCAGGGGTCTCGGGATACAGCTCGTTCCTGAGCCCTCAGTGCACGGTCACTGAAATCTTCCACTGTGTGTTCAGAACTCGGTCTTGTTGCTTACAGACTCATGAGAGAAAACTTTTAAAAACCATAAAATCTGTCAGGGGTGATAAATGTTGCAGGGAAATGGAGCCTCCCCCAGGGCTGCTGCTGCGGGGGAGGAGCACGTTGCTGTTCTAAATGAGCCGCTGGTGCTGGTGCTGGCCGGAGGCCTCCTTCAGGAGGTGACGTGAGCAGATGCCTGAGTGAAGCCGGCGCAAGCCCTGGGCTGCAGTGTGATCTCTCCAGACAGAAGGGACAATGAACCCAAAGTTTCTGGGGCAAAATGTGCTTGGGGTGGTGGCTGCCGGGCTGTGGCGCAGCCCCTCGGGGGTGTCAGGGAGCAGAGCTGCCTTCGGGGTCCCAACAGTGAAGTCTTTCTTTTCCAGTAAACTGTCTTTGGCCGAGAATGCTCAGGAATGACAATAAAATTAGAAGCTTCTGCCCCTTCTCTGCCGCTAGTCCTGTGTGAAATGCTTTTTCCTCTTCAGAAAGAATCCCTCGGGTTTTCACCAGGACTCCGTTTTGGGAGAGTGTGGGGCTGGTGTCTTCGAGAAACCCACTGGAGGTTGAGGCCCCAGCAGCACCCAAGGCCAGAGGGCTTCAGTGGGCCCCTCATGGGCTGCCAGGCCCGGGCTCCTCGCTGGGGTTGGAATCCTTTGCTTTCAGCTTGTGTGTCTCTGAGTTGCAACCGAGCAGCCGATGCTGGCTTGGGTGCTTTATCTCACTGCTGTGGGTTTCTGGCCGCCAAAGGTCGGGGTGTATTTTATACCTTTTTGCCCACTAGGGGCGGATGTGTCGGTGTGCATGTTTGTAACCGGCTCCAGCCCCTCAAATATCCCTGGGGCTCGTTGCCTTGTGGATCCAGAAACAGCTCCGGTGTCTTGTTGGTGTAAGATGCGCAGCTTTGTGAAAGGGCCCCCTGGCTGGACGTGGGGGACCCCTGCTCCCCATCTCTCCACCGCATCTAACGCCACACTGCCCACAGCTGTCCGCCCACACAGTGGGCAGCTGAAGTGGGCACTGTCTCATCGCTAAGCTCGTGCTTCCTCTAACGTGGCTTCGCTCCTTGCGGAATGTGCTCCTGAGTCGGAGCGGGGCTTTCACCTGCTCAGAAGACCCGTGTTTCCTCACCGCCAGTTACAGTCCACTCCACTTTCAAAGTCACGTGGCATCACCCCCTAACCTCTGCCCCCCCAAACCCCCTCCCCATGCTAATATCTGGTCCCTTTCTCCAAGTAAGACGTTTCTGAGCATGGGGCTCCTTCGTCTCCCGTGTTCTGAGACACTTCCTCCGTCTTTTCTCGTTGTTCATTACCTTGGCACATTGGAAGAGTTCTTTGCGGAATGCCCCACTGGATGGCAGTGCTCCTACATTGGCTTTCTCTGATTAGACGGGCTTGGGGGTTTGAGGGAGACCAGCAGCAGGTGAGTGCGCAGCGGCCCATGGCATCTCCTCGGGGCACAGGCCACCCTCCTCTGGCTGACAGGATGGCTTTTCCTTTTCCAAACTGGATTCTTCAGAGTTGCTCTCCAAAGTCCAGCCCAGTCAGGCAGTAGGGGTGGGGTTGGGGGAAGCTTTATCTCTGCGAGGGAGCATCTGCATAGATGAACTTTGGGACTCCAGGAAGGAGCCGTTTCCTCAGCCCACATTCATGTCTGTCTGTCTTACAATGCTGACTACCCAAGTGCGTGTTTTTATTTGTGTTGAGCGCATCATCCCAGCCAGGGCTGGGAGCTCTCAGGTTGGCTCCGCTGTCTGAAGCCAGCCTCTCACCCTCCTCACGCTGCCTTTCCTGGGTCTCCCACCTCACCCCAGAAGCCGCCCTCTCTACAGGGAGCACCCTGGGAGCCGCAAGCCCTTTCGTCCAGCTCAGCGTGACATAGCATCAGGTTTCTACTCGACTTGTTGGTTTGCTTGTCCCGGTAGTTTAGATCCTACTCTTTGTCTTTGCAGGCTTCAGACTGCATTTTATTCCTGTGTATTTGTAAGAACAAAATGTTTTACCTGCTGACCCACCATCAGTCTCTGCCTTATGGAATCAGATCTGTTCATTCTAAGTAGCATTGAGGGTGAGGGTTGGTATGGACCTGGAAGCATCGGAGGATACTTTGTATCTCCCCTGCCAGTCGCCCTTTGACCTTGTCATTTGTAACCTTTAGAAACTTGCTTATTAGCAGTAGATACTTTTTATCACCCTAATCTCTTTAGGTTTCACTTGTGTGATTTTCAAAGCTAAAAGCACAAAAGAACTGTGATTGAAGATAGGTCCCATTTGGCAGACAAAAGAGCGACATTGTCTCGTGTGTTTTTATCTGTGCTCTGTTTCCGACTTGCAGAAGGGCCCGAGGGAAGTTCTTCACTTCACAGATCTCAACATTCTTTCTGTAAAAACAAGAGTATTGACAAAAATCTTTAACACTACCCTCTTCCTTTAAAACAGCTTTATTGAGGTTATAGGACCTCTTTTAGCAATTTTGTGCTTCTTGTTGGAGTAGAATTTAGCACGAGAGAGAGAGAGAGAGAGAGAGAGAGAGAGAGAGAAAGAGAATATTGCATTGATCAAGTGTGACAGCTTAAAAACAGGCATTTAGTTTCTGTCTGAAAGGGACGGTCGTTCAGGAAATACTGCAATGCTAGAAGGAAACACTTACAGAAAGAAATCCTTCTTATTTCCTTTCCAGTTCCAACCTCCCCACACAGAATGCATAATTTACCTTTAACAAGCTCTCGTTAGTCATAAAAGCTTGGAAAGCTGCCATCTTGGAAGTTTGTAGTTTTATTGTATTAAGCACATGTGGCTTTCTCCACTCGCCTGCACATCTTGGTGAAGATTTGCCTTTTAGTTAATATGTACACATGTCCTTATCAACCAAAAGAGAGTCAAAAGGGCTCTTTCTGTACTTTAATTACTAGTGTCTGGCCTCCTGGAGAGGACTAAGGGGAAAATCTGTATTCCTCCAAGCTCGCTTCCTCACAGTGATTTCTCAAGTCCGGAGGGAAGAGCAAAGATGGTAGTTGGAAACAAAGTGATGTTTTGTACCATTGCTTTGACTTCTTGTTGGCCTGTGAGATTTAAAAGTTTTTAAATGTATACTGATTATAAAGTCAAAGAGACTGTTTTTTTAAGTTTAAGAGAGAAGTAGGGTCACCCCTAAACTCTAGGTTGTGTGTAGGGAATGAAGGACATCGGAGCACATGGTGGGTGCTGGGGAGAATGGTCCCAGAAGGTAAGATCATGGCCTCAGTGTCTTGTGGAATCAGCGGCATTGTAGCACACTCGGTTGTGTCCTGGCATGTCACCGTGGTGTCATGCACACGCTGTTGCAGTGTTAGTGTGATGTTATGCGGCACGAGCGCAGGAGCTGCTGCAGCATCGGCGCGCGGCGTTACTGTGGCCTTAGCCACAACAGCCGCAGTATCAGTGCGCGGTGTTGCTGGGAGATTCGTGCGTGACTTACTGTCGTGCTAGTGCAGGACATCACTGCGGATCAGTGTGTGACATTGACGTGCTATCGTCGCGCGGCGTTACTGTGGTCTTAGCACACAGATGCTGCAGTATCAGTGCGCGAATGCCACAGTATTCGTAGCCCCAGGTGCGGGGCCTCTCACAGATTTCTGAACAGTTTATTGAAGTTTTCAGCTTAAATTTAGAACTGATTTTATAAAGTGGAAATTTTAAACTGCTGAATTGACATCCCTTAAAAATCATTGAACTTTATTCATTTTCACTAAAAAATTGTCAGACCTTTCATTGTCAGACCAAAA